GGGCGCGTGGGGGGGGGCGGGGGCGGGGGGGGGGGCGGGACGGGGCTCCGGGGAAGGCAAAAATCACCCCCCGCTGTGGTTTTAAGGGCTAAAGGCCAGGCCTTCCTGAGCCGGGTGTTCGGGCGGCCTGCGGCTTCTGCAGGGCCCAGAGGGAGGCCTGAGGAGGCCGTGGGGATGATCCTTGGGCTGGAGCAGCTCTGGAGCCAGGCTGGGAGAGCTGGGGTGTTCAGCCTGGAGAAGAGAAGGCTCCAGGGAGACCTTAGAGCAGCTTCCAGTGCCTGAAGGGGCTCCAGGAAAGCTGGGGAGGGACTTGGGACAAGGGCAGGGAGGGAAAGGACAAGGGGGAAGGGATGAAAACTGGAAGAGAGGGGAGATTGAGGTGAGACATGAGGAGGGAATTGTGGAGTGTGAGGGTGGTGAGAGCCTGGCCCAGGTTGCCCAGGGAAGCTGTGGCTGCCCCATCCCTGGCAGTGTTGAAGGGCAGGTTGGATGGGGCTTGGAGCAGCCTGGGCTGGTGGGAGGTGTCCCTGCCCGTGCAGGGGGTTGGATCTGGATGGTCTTGAAGGTCCCTTCCAACCCAAACCAGTCTGGGATTCTGTGAATGTCAAATTTTCTCTGCTGTGAGTCTTTCTTGAGTTGTGGTGCTAAACCTTGTTGATTTTTAAATGTTTGGTCTCTTTTTTTCTTTTTGGCAAGTGCTCCATTTTTTCTTCAGTTTCAGAGGGGACAGGCTGGCGTTTGTTGCCTCAGCTGCATTTCATCACAGGGATTGTTTCCCCTGGCAGTGTCTTCCTCATTAGTTGCCTGTGACCTGCACATCACAAATTGCAAGCTTGAGAGGTCAAAATTTGATACCAAGTCAACAAATGGGATGTAGCACAGAATTGGTTGAGACCCTTCCCCTAATCCACCGCTGGCAGATCCAAGTATCCCAGATACCTTGGGGACTGTGTCCAAAGCCTGGCAGAACCAAGGGCAGATGCTCCCTGGCTCCTTGTGGGCTTTCAAGCTTGAACTGACCCCTACCCTTTAATCAAGGAGGTGCTGGTGACACACCTGGGCTGCTCTGGGTTTTCTTTTTGCATCCTAGCAGAGCTTCTCTGTGTGGACAATGAAATTTCTTAGTTGCCCTCTGAAAATTGGTAGGTGTGATGAGAATGAAAAAGGAAGAGCTGCTGCTGGCTCATATCTAGGGCTCTTGCTGCCTGGAGAACTCTCTGGAAGTGCTGTCAGCAGCTTGGAGGATCTGCTCTCCTCAGCAGCTCTGCCAGCAGCAGAGCAGGTGCTCTGCATGCTGATGAAATGCTGGGAAGCACAGGCAGGACCAAAGAGAGACACAAAAACCACTGCATCAGAATAGAATCATGTGATTTTTATTTCATTTTTTCCTTAGTTAAAATGTGTTTTCTGCATGTGTGTGTGATTTAAAATCCAGCTGAACTCCCAGGGACAGGCTTTAATATTTGGATGATATTTTAAAATGCAGGAGGGAGGCTCTGATGGAAGTGAGAGGGAGCAAAGCTGAGTCTGCACTTCTGAAAGTCTCATTTTCTGTGACCTGCTCCCCCTTTGGTTGATTGCTTAATAATGCCACGTATTTTAGGAATGATGTTGTGAAGATCCATCTCTACCTACTTGAGAAAGTACATGGGTGTTTTGGAAACAGAAGGTTGTCTGGACACCTCCACAGAGTGAGGCTGAAGTGTAGTTTTGTATCCTCAGCAGGAGCTGAACCATTTTCCTCTTGAGAGACAGTTTCATGGAGGAGCCACTGAAGTAAATTCTGGCTTTCTGGGTGTGGTTCCATAGTAGCTTTTTTTTTTCATTCTCCATTTTTCTGCCTTTAATATAAACCTTTCTTCCTTCACAAACACATGAACAACCTGTTTTCCTTCATTTGGCAGATCTTTGGCTTGTAATTCCATGAAGGTGACCACTGTTTCTCTCACCTCTACCTGTGCTAATTGTCATTTTCTTTTTTTTAACTTCTTTCCTTCAGCTTGTTCTGCAGCTGGATGGAGGAGCAGCCTGGTTCCTGCAGTGCCATGGGTGACTGCTGCTTTTGGGTCCTTCCCTAGCTGCTCAAGCCACCAGGATTTGGTGATGGAGGCTTTGCTGGAAGGAATGCAGAGGAATGGGCAGGGGGGGTATGTATCCAGCACCACACACTGGTCTGCAAAATCATGTCAGTAATTAGAATCAAACCTTCTGGGATCAGACAAAGCTTAAATGAGGGCTTTGGAGTTTGACCACTAGGACATCCTGGTGGGCAAATACTGTGTCCAGTGGCCTTCAGCTGGTGCAAAAGCAAAGTGAGCTGGATTTGCAGCCACCCCTTGACAGCTGTTACAGTCTTAATTGCTAGAAATTTGATTTTACATCTTCCTGAAAACTTTACCTCTTTGTTGTTGTGAACGCTTCTTACCTTCTAACATCAGGGGCAGTAGTAATTAAAGGTGTGAAAAAGTGCTTTTTTGGTAACAGCTTGGCAAGGTTAACGAGACATGTCTTTGTTACCTGCTTGTTTTTTGAAAGCATCTGATCATTTCCTGCTGGTGTTGAAAGTGCGGAGTCCTGTTCATCTCTGGAGAGTCCTTCATGTGTTTTCTCAGGCCAAAGTATCTGGACTTTTAGATCCCTCAGAAAGACTGTAGTGCCCATAATAGAATACAATGTTTTTATGTGTTAAACAAGCATGAAGCAGAAGTCAGTGATGCCATTTTCATGGTGATCTTTGAGAAAGTGGCTCCAACTTACTGTGAGGGATCTTCTGCTGAGAACTGGTTGCAGGAATCAAGTTTAAACTGAGCTTTATATTAGCAGATGCTGGGAAGGAGATGTTCTTGCTCTGCATAAGAGCTGCTGGTTTTTGGTTGACTCGCAGGACAGGGTGAACTTCAAATTTAACTGATTTTGGCTGCTTTAAGGAGAGTTTCTTTCCCTGCAGAAGCCCTGCCAAACTGTGAAGTGTGTGTGTGCTCTGGGGGAGCAGAGGAATTTCAATCCCTTAACCTATTGATTTCCATTTCTTTTCAGTGCTTCCTGTCTGACAGGGAAATTAAAGGGGGAAAGATCATCATGGAGTTGAGGGCCCTCCAGGGCTGGATCTTGTAAGCCTTGATATTGCCCCTGGCTTGGCAGGTTGTGAAGTTTCAGAGGAGTTAGTTGGATTTGCTGCAGCTGCATCCAGGGCAACATCACTGGGGAGCTTGCTCTTCCCACTGGGTTGCAAATGGTTTCTTCTTCATTATCATGTTGTCATCCATCCCCCTGCACTTTGGGGTTTGTCTGTGTTTGTGATAATAAACTTCTGTTTCAGGAGCTGATAGCTGTAAGATTTCTCTAGTGGCTGAGGCTTGGTATAAAATGCCTCTGCCTGGAGAGCAATTAAGGCAAATATCAAATATGGATAAAACATTCTCCAATTTACTGAGGTAATGCAGAGGACAAAGAGGGAGAAGTGTTTATAGGGGCTTTTAATGTGTCTCTGGATAGAAGAGGAACCCTCTACATTTAAAGTGTGTAGGTCATTTGTTCTCACTGGGTTTTCACAAATACTCTTTGTTGGTCATGGCCAAATGTAGACACAAATGTTCCAGTTGTTCCTGCTCAGGGACTGGACTGAACACCTGAGCACTCACTGCATTTCCCTGCCAGCTAATTCGTGCAGCATTCAAGGCACTGCATGTGTGGATGTGGCCCCTTGGTGCAGCTCTGCTGACTCTGTGGGTGTGGGACACCCTGCTGGGTGGTGCCTGCTTGGTAACCTCAAGCTCTGTTCCCTTCCAGCAGGGGGTTCTTGACTTCCTGCGAGGCTGAGCTGCAGGAGCTGATGAAGCAGATTGACATCATGGTGGCTCACAAGAAATCAGAATGGGAAGTGCAGACACAAGCCTTGGAAGCCTGCCTGAGTGCTCGAGAGCAGGAACTTGCCTCAGTCAGGGCTGCTCTGCAAGAAAAAGAAAAGGAGGTACTGCCTCACATTCCGTGGTTCCCCATCAGATTTGACCCCTGTGTTTTACATGTTACAACACAATCTGAAGACTGAACCTGAATTCCAGAGTTGGGCTTTACACAGGCATGTGTTTTGGGTGTTATTTCATCAGTTCTGATTTATTGTTTTTTTAATGTTTCAATGCTAAGCCAAACCTGGGGGTTAGCTTTGGCAGACAGCTGTGCTGAGGGAAACAGGAGCCTGTCTCAGAGTTGGAAATCAGCAAGAGCATTTGCAAAGGAGCCTGTTGGAACAAGGTGTCTGGTTCATAATTCAGTCAAAGTCAAGGGATCAACTCCATCAGCATAAAGGGGGCCTACAGGAAAGCTGGGGAGGGGCTGGTGTCTCTGTACCTACCTATGTAGGTACAGGACAAGGGGCAATGGCCTTAAACTGGAGCAGGGTGGATTCAGACTGGATATCAGGAAGAAGCTCTTGACACTGAGGGTGGTGAAGCTCTGGAACAGGCTGCCCAGAGAGGTGGTGGAGGCTCCATCCCTGGAGACATCCCAGGTCAGGCTTGAGGAGGCTCTGAGCAACCTGGTCTAGTTAAAAAGCCCCCTGTGCACTGCAGGGGGACTTGACTAGATGATCTTTAAAGGTCCCTTCCAACCCCCCACATTCCATAATTCTGTGACTCCCTAGGGGCTGGTGGGAGTCTGCAGGCTGAACTGTTGGGGTTTCTAGAGAGAAGCCAAAATCACTGAATCTGTACACACCAGCAGTTGACAGCCCAGCAACATGCAATCATTGGTAAAAAGAACTCTTAGAGAGATTTAGATTAGAGATCAGGTGTGAAGTCTTCCCTGTGAGGGTGGTGAGAGCCTGGCCCAGGTTGCCCAGGGAAGCTGTGGCTGCCCCATCCCTGGCAGTGTTGAAGGGCAGGTTGGATGGGGCTTGGAGCAACCTGGGCTGGTGGGAGGTGTCCCTGCCCATGCAGGAGGTTGGATCTGGATGAGCTTTAAGGTCCCTTCCAACTAAAAAAATTCTGTGCTTCTGTGTAAACTGCACCAAGATATTCCTGGGAGATTCTCTGAGGGCTGTTTTGTGAAGCTCAGGCTTTGTAGACCTGGGGCCAGGGCACCAGATTTCTGTGTCACTACAGAAATATCATAGGGGGAGTTTTTGCATAGGACATGGACCATAAACCTCTTCAGCAAATGGATGGATGTGTCTTTCTCTGATCAGAGGAAACCAGCAGGGGTCTGGGAGGCTGGATCTCAAGATGTAGCCACACTGACATTTTCTGAAAGTGTTTAAGACTTGTCCTTACATTTATAGCTGCTGTGTCCTGTCTTTTGGAAGACTCTTTGCTACAATGGGTATTTTGGCAGCTCTCTGAGGCAGCTGCTTGGAATTCTTGGGTTCAAAGCCAGCTGATAACTGCACAAGCAATTGGGTTTTGGGGGCCCTGTGCAACTCTACTACAGCTATCCTCACATCCTCAAAATGACCTGTGTTCTCCTGTAGCTTTTAGTGATTGAGGCTGGAAACTAGTAAAATAAAGAGAAATATGACAGGAGGTAGCAACAGTGGGTTAAGAACCCTGCATTTCTTAGTAGTGTGGTCAGGTGCTGCTGCTACTCCACATGGCAAGGTTTGGAATGAATGCCTTTGTTGCACAGTTACTAAACCTGGAATCATACCACAGGGTTTTGATTTGCAAGAACTGTCATTTTTATCAAATAGGTTAGCATTGTTATTGTGTTTTCTTAAGATACTTCAAAAATAATTCTTACCACCAAAGGCAAGCAGTGATTTAGAAACTGAAATGTGAACTCTGGTTTAAGTCTCTACTGAGATAAATTCATGCTCTTGGTCTACTCACGGGAGTTTTCTGTCATGATGCCCTTTAAGTTGTTGACTTGCTGCCCTTTGGACCTGCAGGTAGAAAGGTGGCCACTTTGGTTTCTGGATGTGAAAAAGATGGGGAGGGAGAGAAAAATGAGTCCCAGGAGTATTGGAATCAACCTAAGGGAAGTTTTTCCATGAGTTTCTAAGCCCTGTTTCTTCTTTGTCCCCCTTGTATTCCTTGGAATCTCTGTTTCACCTGAGCACAGGAAGATAATGGCATGGCCATCTTGTCACTTGGCAGATAGGTTGAAATCATACTGCATGTGGATGAAGGATTTGATGAAAATGCCAGATAAAAAGAGCCTTTTGACACAAGCTGAAACTTTTCAGCTTAATCCCAAAAAAATGAAAGCCAGAAACTGGCTCAAAACAAGAGGCCAGAACAGAATCAGTTCTGGCTCCAGGTAACCACAGATTTAGGCACAGACTTGATCACTCATCATAGTGAGTTACTTGTTTGTTCTTCAACTGTTGCCTCTCCAGGTAGAAGACTTGGAAAAAGCCAAACAGGACATGGTTAGAGAATTTGAACAACAGCTGAGGAAATTTCAAGAGGAGGTGAGTTGCAAAAAGAGGATTGTTTTTATTCCCAGTTGAGACGTGATCTGAGTACTGTGTCCAGTTCTGGAGCCCCCAGCACAAGAAGGACATGGAGCTCCTGGAGAGAGTCCAGAGGAGCCACAGAGATGATGGGAGGGCTGGAGCAGCTCTGCTCTGGAGCCAGGCTGGGAGAGTTGGGGTGTTCAGCCTGGAGAAGAGAAGGCTCCAGGGACATCTTAGAGCAGCTTCCAGTGCCTGAAGGGGCTCCAGGAAAGCTGGGGAGGGACTTGGGACAAGGGCAGGGAGGGAGAGGACAAGGGGGGATGGATGAAAACTGGCATTGAGGTGAGACATGAGGAGGAAACTGTGGAGTGTGAGGGTGGTGAGAGCCTGGCCCAGGTTGCCCAGGGAAGCTGTGGCTGCCCCATCCCTGGCAGTGTTGAAGGGCAGGTTGGATGGGGCTTGGAGCAGCCTGGGCTGGTGGGAGGTGTCCCTGCCCATGCAGGGGGTTGGATCTGAATGATCTTTAAGGTCTCTTCCAACCCAAACCAGTCTGTGATTCTGTGATCTCACAGGTGAAGTGCTTTGCATCATTGCTTTTGTTTAAATGCTGTGGGTTTAGAACTTCCCATTCTTTTATTGTTGATGTTCTTACAAACAAGAGCATTGAGCAAAGTAATATTTTTATGCTCCATTAGGCCTGTTTTTTTGCTCTTTTTGGGGAATTTGGTGGTGAACAGACACCTGTTGGTGCAGAGATGTGTAGTAAGTGGATGGGTGCAGTTTTCACACGTTAGACACCTGCAGAAGTTTCCTGCAAACATGCCCCATGTTTGGCCGTTCTGGTCACCACAGTTCTTGTTCTGAAGTTGCCAGGGGTACAGGCAGCAGCACTTGGCTTCTTCAGCAGTTTCTGAAATTAAAAAAGGGTGGTGATGTAGCTGGCCTTGACTGAGTCAGGTGCAGAGAGAAGAAATGATCTGTAGTCTCATCTGTTGTTTTGCATACATTGAATCTGAATTTTTTAGTAAGGATTTTGCTCCCTCAAGGCATATTTGTCTTAATGAACTTACTAAAAACCAGATAGACTTAGAAAATATTTTTAAAAATATAATTTCAGAGCTTCCATCTCAAAAAACTTCTTATTCACCACAAGGTGGTACCTGTGGGATGTCCTGTGGGTGGTGTGACAGCATTCCCTGAGCATTCCTTAACTCTGCCTGTCCCCACTCAGCTGTCAGCAGCAGAGTTAAGTGGCATGAAGTTCTGCCCTGTTTCCTCTGGAGGGTTGGACCTAGTTCATGTTTGTTGTAAGCCTAAGTTAAATGAATTTGGTAGTCCCCTTTGACAACAGAAAGCATGTGTTCTCCTTGAAAACCCCTCACTGTTCACTAGGGCTCTCAGCCTTTCTTCCCTAGATGTTCCCTCTGGAATTAGGAATGGACTGCAAAGCAGAACATAGGTGCAGTGGCAGATCTGAATTGCTAAGGCTGACACACACTCTGGTTTTGGGCCAAATTTGCAGTGTCTTGGGATGTTCCCCACACAATATGAAGGTAGATGACACGAAGCTCCAGTGTTCCTCAAGCTCCTGTTCTTAGCACTGTCTGACTTTACAGCCATTACCAGTAGAAAGATGGGTACAGTGTCCAACTGGCTGAGGTTGCTGGAAGATTAAACCTGTCATCTCCTGATACGTTGGCAGAAGAGATTTGTTTATTAACTCTTTATGTCTGTCCCTTCCCACTGAACATCCCTAAGTACTTTGCTGACTCAGGGCTCTGCAGAACCTTTTGTGACCAGTGCTTGGGGTCATTCAGGTGGTTTTTTTATCTTCTTGTGGTCCTTCTGTTCATGCACAGACTTAACCTTTCCCCATCAGTAAAATGGGAATGATGGCTTCTCAAATCCCTGTGGCTTGGTGGAAACTTTGTATTGAATAGCTGAGTTGGGGGCAGCTCATCAGGTGGAAAATTCTGTGCAGGGTAAAGTGATTATTTGCACAGAGGGTCATTTAAATGTCAAGAGTTTTTTCCCCTCGTTCCTGCATTGGCAGGACTGCAGCATTCTAGCAGCAGGCGTGGGAGTGATATTTTCTGTTGGCATTCTCCACTTATTGTGAAATGCATGGTGTATCTAAGCAGAAAATGACAGATGAAGTAGTGTTGACATTATGTATAATGGCACCTCTCAAATGTTCCTTCTCCCACTAAGAGGAAGAGTTCCAGTTTCCCACCTGAGCTTCACAAGTAGATTTTAATCACATAAGAATCTGAACCTCCCCCATACCCTGTGGGTGGGGGGATGTGCCCCTCTGTGGGAGGGGGTCACCCATGGGTGTTGCTTGCTTTTGCTGTGGCTGGGAGCCCTCTGAAGAGAGAGGGGTACCCTGCTCTTACTGCACTAACAGCTACTTGTAAACCTCCATCTTATCAAGATCTTAGGTGTGTTTAATTGTTGTAGGACAGAGGTCTAAAGAGAGCTGCTGATGTCCCAACTTCAGTGGCATCTTGCTGCTCTGAGACAAGCTGGCATATTTTGCAGCCCTGCTGGTGTAATAGGCTCCTTATAGGAATTGGAGGCTTCATTTGCAAGCTGTGTGGCCTTGATTAGGGGAATTGTCTTGTGTGCAGCCATTTTGTGTGCATCCTTTCAAAGTGCTCTTCAGTTCCTGCCTTGGGGTCTTGAACAAAGTTGTCTCTCTCACTGTATTCCCTGCAGTTGGCCAGGCTGAGGAGGAGCTATGAGAAGCTGCAGAAGAAGAAGCTAAGAGAAGCTAAAGGAGATGTTAGCAAGAGACAAGGGGAGGATGAGTTTGAAATTAGTTGCCTGACCAGGAAACTGGAGGTATGTAGTGAAAAAGCAAGTGCTAACCAGAGTTTGTATGTATGAATGGACTTATTGGGCTTCACTGGTGACTGAAGAGGATGTGGGCTGTGAGTCCTGCTTCAGAAGTACTCTCCATCTACTCCCCAGGTGTAGCCCTGCTCAACTGCTTGTGTAATAAAGGCAGTTCCTTGCATTGGGGCCTCTCAGTACACAGGATAAACTGTGTTGCTGGTCTTATTCTTAGACTAAATAAAAGGAAGAAGGGGCTGCAAGAGTAATTAATTATGTGAATGGAATTAATTCCAGTGTGGTGAGGTTGTCATCTCACTTCCTTGAGGAGTAACTTCTCAAGGGAGAGAGAAGGGAGTAACTTCTCAACCCTGTCCCATCTTTTTAACCTTTCTGCTACACTGGGCTTAACCACACTCAATTTTCCTCTGCTGTACCCTGAGGATGTGGCCAACAAACACATCTGACTGAGTGATGCCCACTTTCTGGAGCAGAGATTGGCATGAAAATTCTGCAGTTCACACTTGCCATCTTGGTAATGTCAAGAGCAGCATGTGCTGGGAGGTAAAGACAGGCTGGCTGGTGAAACCTCTGACAGCAAATCCATGAAACCAGGCATGAAGCTGTTGGCATTTGTGGACCCTGCTGAGGTCTGGCCTCAGGAGCACTGCAGCAAGCACCACGGGGAGGGCTCTGTGCTGCTGGGCTGGTGCAGCTCGTGGGTTCCCTGCTGGGGGGAGAGGTGTGTGAGGGTACAGGGGGAGAGAGAAAGCAAATGGGGGTGTGAACCAGGAGGGGGCTTCCTGTCAGCTGCATGGACATACTGCTCCAAGGCAGCCCTGCTGTCCTTGCAGGAGTTCCATCAGAAATCCCTGGAGTGGGAGAAGCAGCGTGTGCTCTACCAGCAGCAGGTGGCATCGCTGGAAGCCCAGAGGAAGGCTCTGGCTGAGCAGTCAGAGCTCATGCAGGTACAACCAGAGTGTGCTGGAAGGTTTTAGTTTGTTGGTGGCAGCAGGTGGGAAGGGAGGGAGGGGGGAAGAGGGAGAGGCTAATGAAATCTCTCAGGCTTGAATCCAGTTTAGGTTGTCATTGAAATGACTTTTCATGTCCCTGTGGAGTAAGGTTTACTTGTGTAAGTGTTGTATGGAAAAAAGATCTGGAGTCTGTCAACAGAGGCTGGATAAACCTTGGGCAGCTCTCCTGCCACCCCTCCAATTAGCAGAGAAGACAGTGGGATGAAGCTTTCCTGAGGAGACAGAGACCACAGCATATGACACTTTAAAATAGCTTGGACATGATGTTGTTTAGTTTAAAGCTGTGTACCTGCCAGCAGCTAAATATGTAGCTTGTGGGTCCAGCTCACAGGATGGTGTTGGAAAATAATTTTCTCCCGTGACAGATACTTCTGCAAAGTACTGAGGAAACTGCAGTTTTCAGCCCCTCCTTTTGGTTTCTTTAGTGTTTGTTTTTTTTTAAAGTCTCTTAAAGGCACCAAGTAGTGGGGCTGTTGTTCCTGAGAAGCTGATGGTTCAGGCAGTCAGTGGTGCTGGGCAGAGCAAGATGAATTGACCTAGAGCACAGCTGGGAAGTCACACTGACACAATCACAGCAGACACTGATAAGAAGCTCTTGCTGGGGGCTTTGCACTTAATGGGCTCCTCAGTTGCTCTTGAGTGGAAGCTCCTGCAAGGAGGAAGCTTGTGATGACAGGATTGAAGCTGGCTCTGACAGGGACTTGGTGAGAGGCTGACACTGGGAGATCCACAAATGCAGAGAGAGTCGTTGAGCAGAAGGTCTTGCTGCTCTGCTGTCTTTGTCTCATTGGCAGCTCAATTGTCTGAGAACAGATGTGTCCTTGGTGTGCAGGCTGGTGTGCTGGGGCACAGAAGAACTTTTTACTGTGCAGCAGAAAAAAAAACAGGAATTTGGGGAGACTTTTCCTAAGCAGGGTAGATGTTTGAGGTGCATCAGTGCTGGGGTCAGACTGCCTGAATCCTCTATGTGTCTGAAAAGCCCAGCTCAATTTTTATATTGGATTTTCTCTCTGTTTTGTGTGCTTATTTTTTTTTTCTGGCACAAGGTCAAGCTGAGCTCTGGGACCAGGGAGTGCTTCCCCTCTCCCATCTCTCATCTTCTTCTCCTCCTATTTTCCAGTGCAACTTAGGGAGGCCTGGCCTTCTCTCCTATTGCTGAGCACCTTCTTGTCACACCTGCAGCCTTTAGAGTCAGCAGATAAAGTCTGGAATTCTGTGCTGTCCTACATGTTCTGTGCCTGGAAATAAGAGATAGCTTAAATGGATTCTTAATGCAGAAATAAATACTCAGGTGGTCTAGTACTCTGGTTTCTTCAGTGGAGAAAGGCTGTACTTGAAACTCTTGCCCCCTTGATTACCTTTTCTGGCTTGACTATTCAAATACACCATACAGAATTACACCATAGTCTTCCAAATGCACAGTTCCTATGGTTTTCTCAGTTGTGAGGCAATAAATCAATGCATATGGTTATTCTGAAGGTGGCAGGAATTGCTACTCTTAGAAACTGGGACTAAAGAGCTACTCAAATACCTTGTTTCAGCTTTAAAAAATGATAAGGTGCTATGCAAAAAAGGAAAGTATAAAGTGAATATTCTTAGAAGCTTATGGGAGAGCTGGCTTGTTGAATTCCACCAGCTAGCTCCATGGAAAGAAATGCTATGAAATGAAATATTGTGCCTATAAATAATAGAGCATGTATTGTTTGCTACTCATATGTTCCTTATAACTTTTTTTGTCTGCCCTTAAAACAGTGAAACATTCCAAGTGAGCATTCTCACAAGCTGTCAGAGCCAGATAGTGACTGCTTAAAACATCATTGACTGTTACAGACAGTTTGGTTTCTGATCTTTTTGGTAGTTGTGGGTTTTTTTTGTTATTGTTGTGCACCAAGAGCTGCTTTCCATCCTGCTGTGGGATTATCTGTAGCTTGTGTGTGGTATTTGTGAACCTTCCTACATGCTGATGTTTCTCCTGCTCTAGCCTTAGCTTACCAAGCAAAAAACAGTAGGCAGCTTTGTTCTTAGTTCATGCTTGGACAACTGTTTTCCCAGATTCTCTTTGAACCCCTTTTGCAATCAGAGGGCCCCCTCATTTTTATTATTCTGTTTGCCTGCAGAACTTTCACCCTGGGACAAAATTCTCCCTAATGCCCTGCAAGGTGGTCTTGCTCACTTTGAGAACATGATTCCTATGCATAGAAATCAGCAGTTGTTTGGGCTGCAGGTTCGATACACTGTGTTTTATAATGTAGCTTTAATGCAAACTGGTTGTCCTTAGCAGAGCCAGCTTTCCAGTCGGAGGCAGATGGTGGAGTCGGTGGAGCTGGGCAGCCAGTTGGAAATGCAGCACTTAACCAGCAAGCTGGAGGGGGCCAGTGATGCCCTCTATGCCAGCAAGTTGGAGGTGGAGAGGCTTAACATGAGAGTGGACAGCCTGACTGAAAGCAGTCAGATGATCCTGGAAGATCAGCAAAGAGTTCAAGAAGAATTAAGGCAGTCCAAGAAAATGTTAGAGGTCAGTGGAGGAACTGGGAGGAAATGGAACATCATGCAGTGCTTGTGAGAAGGAGCAGGAAGGCTTTTCATCCCAGAGTTTCTGCCTCTTTCTGGAGCCTTTGTAAAGTTGCTGATAGGCCTCAAAGCTGGTTTTGTACCCTTGTGGTGCTCTGCATCTTCAGATGTGCACTTGCAGCTCAGAAACCAACCAGGGGCTGCATCCCCAGCAGCATGGCCAGCAGGGCCAGGGAGGGGATTGTCCCCCTCTATTCTGCTCTTGTGAGACCCCAACTCCAGAACTGTGTCCAGTTCTGGAGGCTCCAACACAAGAAGGACATGGAGCTCCTGGAGAGAGTCCAGAGGAGGCCACAGAGATGATCCTTGGGCTGGAGCAGCTCTGCTCTGGAGCCAGGCTGGGAGAGTTGGGATGTTCAGCCTGGAGAAGAGAAGGCTCCAGGGAGACCTGAGAGCACCTTCCAGTGCCTGAAGGGGCTCCAGGAAAGCTGGGGAGGGACTTGGGACAAGGGCAGGGAGGGAGAGGACAAGGGGGGATGGATGAAAACTGGGAGAGAGGAGATTGAGGTGAGACATGAGGAGGGAATTGTGGATGTGAGGGTGGTGAGAGCCTGGCCCAGGTTGCCCAGGGAAGCTGTGGCTGCCCCATCCCTGGCAGTGTTGAAGGGCAGGTTGGATGGGGCTTGGAGCACCCTGGGCTGGTGGGAGGTGTCCCTGCCCATGCAGGGGGTTGGGACTAGATGATCTTGAAGGTCCCTTCCAAACCATTCTATGAAAAATCTGACCAACCTCTGATTACCTTGCAACAGACCAGTTTGGTCCATCTTGCAGCAGTTGTTCCTTCTCCCCTCTGTGCAGGTGCTACAGGATGAGAAGATGGAGCTTAGAGCTACTTTGCAGGCTCAGGAGGATTTCATGGACCGCTCCAAGCTGCTCCAGGAACAGCTACAGAAAGAGCTGGCCAGGGTGACAGAAACTCTTCACAGAAAAGAACTCCTCATCAGGTGAGCACCTGCACCTCCCTGGTGCTTGTGCTCTTGAATCCAGATCTATATGCCAGGTGCTCCCAGTGTGGATGGTAGAAGGGTTTTCAGCTGGATCAGTGTTGATTGGTAGGTGGAATGGGACATTGTGTCCTCACAGGTGCTGTCCTGCCTTGCAGCATCTGCCAAATTGCTTTTGAAATCTGCTGGTGCTCAGGGAAGGGTGTGGAAGGCATCAGCTTCATACCCAGCTCGGTTTCTAAAAGCAGCCATGGGGCTTTGGAGCTTTTCAGCTTCTTTTTCTCCCTAGGCATTTTCACTGAAGCACTGGAGGCTTTTCAGGATTTGTTTCTGTGCTTCTTAATGTAGGTGAAGGTTCTCACTGGTTAATGATGTCAGATTAGTCTTGGTAAAGTAACTACATGTGTGACAAAGTCATCTCTGCCTTCCCCTTCTGCAGTGGCAGCATGCAGGGTCTGCAGGGCTCTGGTGGCCACCTCAAAAGGTTTGAGCCTGGGTCACCCAACAGCCCCAGTTTCTTGCAAGCTGGCTGTGTGCTGGTGGCAGGGGGACTGTGCATCAGGGAGACCAACATCCAGGTGGGATGGAGTCTTTTTTCATCAGCCTGAACTCAAACAAGGGCCTGTGATCCCACCACCTTGTTTGCTCATTCCCAAAGCACACAGTGGTGGGGTTGGTGTGTTTGTCAGAGGATTCCAGGAAAATGGTGGTGATGTCCCCTGGATTGGTGAGCTCAGATGTGATGTTTCTGTGCTGAGACTGAAGTTTCTGTCTCTCCTTAGGACCTTGGAGGAACGCTTGCAAGAGAAACAAGTGTCCTCTCTGGGGCTGGAGGATGGACTCCTGCAGCTGGAGGATGCCCAGCAGAAGGAACAGCACTTGCAGCCAGAAATGACTCACCTGGAGGACAGGTAGCCAGCTGCTTGCTTCTCCTGCTCTGCAATGAAACTTAGACAATGATTTAATACCTAATGCATTGTATTCATCAAGTTAACCAGCCACACTTATTTTTTTGAAGGCTTATTTTAAATATCAAAGGGCTGAAGTAATCAAATGCTATTAATGTTTGCAGTTTAATAGACTACTTCGCTAATTGGCTGGCTGGTTTGCACTGCACACTGGGGGTGTTTTCAATGTTTGAGCTTGCTCAGGATTAGCACCTTTGCTGGCAATAGGTGAAGGAGTCTTTGTTAGTCAGCTGGTAGGAACCAGATCTAGACCTTACTGTGAAATCAGAATTATGAACATGTCTTCCCATCCAAGTTTGTGGTTTTCATACTGATGTTTGCATGGGAAGTTGTTAATCTTTGTGTGGTAAAGAAGGAAGCAAAAAAAAGCTGTTATCTGTTAGATCAGCTTCCTGATCTCTTTTGAAGTGATTTTGGGAAACAAAGCCAAAGGACTGGTAAGGAACTACCAGGTTAAGAGTCTGGTTTCTGTTACGATGGACATAGAATCCCAGACTGGTTTGGGTTGGAAGGGACCTTCAAGATCATCCAAATCCAACCCCCCTGCATGGGCAGGGACACCTCTCACCAGCCCAGGTTGCTCCAAGCCCCATCCAACCTGCCCTTCAACACTGCCAGGGATGGGGCAGCCACAGCTTCCCTGGGCAACCTGGGCCAGGCTCTCACCACCCTCACACTCCACAATTCCCTCCTCATGTCTCACCTCAATCTCCCCTCTGCCAGTTTCCATCCCTTCCTCCTTGTCCTCTCCCCCCCTGCCCTTGTCCCAAGTCCCTCCCCAGCTTTCTTGGAGCCCCTTCAGGCACTGGAAGGTGCTCTAAGGTCTCCCTGGAGCCTTCTTTTCTCCAGGCTGAACACCCCAACTCTCCCAGCCTGTCTCCAGAGCAGAGCTGCTCCAGCCCAAGGATCATCTCTGTGGCCTCCTATGGGCTTGCTCCAGGAGCTCCATAGTAGACTGCTTGGAAGATCAAAGTCTCTGTGACTGTGTCCTCCTCCTTGGGGTGTTCTAATCTGTAGCTTTATGTTTGGTACCCAGCCTGGTGTCTTCAAGCTGTGCACACCTGGGTGGGGAGCTGCAGGAGAGGAGCCAAGAGCTGCAGGCACTGGAAGGACACCATCCTGAGTCCAAGGCAGAGATGGAAAAGGTAGTGCTGCCTGGTTCCTGGGGAGGGGTCAGGCTCTGTGTGGTCAGCCCCGTGTCTCGGCAGGGCACAGGGAGCACAGCTCCTGTGGGATCAGAGGCCAGGAATGCTGTGGGGGCATTGGGTGCTGGTGGGTCAGGGGCAGATGTGACACAGAGGAGCTGAGTGGGTGGGTTTGCAGGCTTCTGTAGGGGCAGGGTGGGTGACTGGGTGAACATCTCCTGGGCCTACCCCTACAGCACACAGTGCTCCTCTGTGCTGTGGAGACACCTCAAGTAGTGCCAGAAGGCAAGTATGCAAAGAAATGGGAATCCTGAGTTTAAGCCTAATACAGCCTCTCAACTGGATGAAGAACAGGGAGGGAATGAATTTTGCTGTAACATGGCCACATGTGACACATGAGACAGGGCTTCAAATGGGTTCTAGCCTGGATGTAAATAAGGGAGTTGGTTTCAGGCTTGATGCCTAGACATGGACTCAGGGGCTGAAAGAACTGGAGCAGCTCATCTGCTACGAGGTCCTCAGCCTTGTGCTCTAGGCACCCAAGGGAGGTTAGTCCCCCAGGAGGCTTGACTGTTAGTCATGGTGTAGATGAGTTAGTGTCAGAACTTTCACTGAAACCTGAGTGAAAAACCTCACTTCTGTGAAAATATTTCATCCTTTATTCTGAACGTACAGGCGTGCAGATCTTGCCAGAGCTGTGTGCTTGGTTATCCACTTAAGCAGCCACACAATAAATGAGTCTCCTGCAGGCTGCTGGGAAGAAAAGAGCTTGATTATGGTTGTTTCTATTTAATATACTTGGGAGGCATGGAGGTGACATAGAAATAAATCACCATATGTCCAGGATTTACATGGCTAGGCAGAGATCATCTGGTTCCATTTTCTAAAATGCTTGTAATTCTCAGAAAAATCCTAGAGGTTTGGGTGGATAATATTTCTGGCTAATGGGATGCAATACTAGGGAAGAAATTACACTAGGTTGTTGTGCTGTTGTGTCACTGAATAAATGGACAGGGTGCCTACCAGAATATTGCAGGTCTGCCACCTCAGAAAGGACTGAATAAAGCAAGATAAGGTAGAGAAAAAGATGACCAAAAGGATGGAGTGGGTTTGGTGTTTTGTTTTTTTTTTTATACAAGGAGCAGCTGAATGGAATAGGACTTAGCAAACTGGAAAAGAGATAAATGGGATTGAACATACTAAAAATAAAATTGTGACTGTCATGTGGAAAGTCAGTAGGGAGTGATTATTCTCTCCTGGTGCAGAGACTAGTGGTTATCAAATGGAGTTATGAAAACAAAGAGGTGTATTTTTACCCTGTGCTTGTGGAAGTTTGCCATGGGCAGCTTGGGTTGCTACAAGCTAATACTGATTCAGAAGACTTAGGACAAATACATGGCAGAAAAGGCTGGAGCTATTTCAAGGTACAGGGTCTGCCTTGGGAGGGTGGGGTGGCTAAGGACAAGGTTCTATTATGGGAGTGTCACTGGGCTTGCCAAGCACTGGTCAGACCTTTGGGTGTCTGTTGTTGGCCTTGGAGGTAGAATGCTGAGCTCAAGAGGCTGTGATCTGAGCAGTGATGGGTCTTCTCAGGTGCTCCATAGCATGTAATTTCTGTCTTGTCTCAGTTGGCAGTTTATGGTGTGGAAAAGGATTGGGATGATGTGGTTTTCAATCGAGAAAGACTCGATGCGCAGAGGGATTGTTACGTAGAGCTTTTTGTTTTCCACATTACCATGTGCAATACTTTAGCTTTTTTTTTTTTTCTGAAACATCTCTTAAAAGCTCGTGGGTGGTGTGTGCATATCTTTCTCCAGCTGAAAGAGCAGCTCTCTCAGGCTGAGCAAATTCACAGCAGTGAGCTAGAAGAGATGAAAAGGGAAATCTCCAGGTTGACACAGGAGCTACAGCAGCGGGACATCACAATTGCATCTGCAAGTGGCACCACATCTGACCTAGAACAACGGCTGAGAGCAGAGTTTGAGAGAGCAGAGATTGAAAGAGCAGAGAGGAAAGCTGTGGAGCACAGGGTAAAACAGGCAGCAGACTGCTGTGCTGTTTCTTTCAGGGATCTGAAGGCTTGGACTACCAGCCGAGGTTTTAGTGATCCTAATGTTTCCTTCTCACTTCAGTGTTTGAACAAAGACTTTGAGACCCTGCTGATAAAATCTTCTCATTTGTGTTGGTCATTGAGTCTGTCTTGCTTCTGCTTTTCAAACCTGTAACTGGAAATCCCTTGGGATTCTTGGAGATGACTCCTGTCAGCTAGGCCTGGATGGTGACACCTTTGAAAGCCAAAGTAAATGACTGTGTGTAGTTATTTGCATGGTCTTCTCTGCAGGGTCCCTGCAGCACTGACCACCCGACTCTTGCTGTCTACTTGTGATTGAATTGAGGGTGGAGGTTGTTGTGGGCATGTCCTGTGTCATGTGTTGGTTTTTTTTTCTGAGCTGCTTGTTTGCTTCTGTCTCCTCAGGTACTTCTGGTCCAGCTGGAAACCCTGAGGTTGGAAAACCGCCTTCTCTCGGAGATGCTAAAGAAGGCGGAGTGTGGAATGCTTGAGGTGGAGACTGGGGAATGGGGGGGAAGGGGCTGGCCTGGTGTGTCCTCTGCCTGGGAACAGTGGTGATCTTTGCCCAGGCCTCTCAGAAGGCTTGGTGGAGTTCAGTGGACTTAAAACCCAAGCAGAAGGGGCAAGCTGGGAGGAAAGAAGGCCCAGAAATACTGAGCGTCTTGTTCAGTCACAGGGTGGTGAGGAGGGCTGCAGAAGTAGAGCCCTCATCTCAGCTGCTTCTCCATGGGGTCTGGCCCATGGTTTTTAATACAGTTTGTTACATTTCCATTGGGTGGGAGTGTTGATCTGCTTGAGGGTAGGAAAGCTCTGCAGAGGGACAAGTGCTGGGTCCTGCTTTTCAGTCACAACAACCCCGGGCAATGCTCCAGACTTGGGGCAGAGTGGCTGGAGAGCTGCCTGGAGGAAAAGGACCTGAGGATGTTGGTGAGCACCTGGCTGAACATGAGCCAGTGTGTGGCCAGGTGCCAAGAAGGCCAACAGCATCCTGGCCTGCATCAGGAACAGTGTGGCCAGCAGGAGCAGGGAGGTGATGGTGCCCTGTCCTGGCACTGGTGAGGCTGCATCTCGAGCACTGGGGGCAGGAAGGACATTGAGGTGCTGGAGCAGGTCCAGGGAGGAGCTACCAAGATGGTGAAGGGTCTAGAGAACAAGTCATACAAGAAGCCTGAGGGAACTGGGAGTGTTTAGTTTGGAGAAGAGGAGGCTGAGGGGAGAGCTCATTGCTCTCCACAGCTCCCTGAAAGGAGGGTGTAGTGAGGGGTCTTTGGCCTCTTCTCCTGAGTGGAGAATGACAAGACCAGAGGAAATGGCCTGAAGCTGCACCAGGGGAGGGTCCAACTGGAGAGTAGGAAGAGTTTATTTACTGGAAGAGTGGTCAGGCACTGGGACAGGCTGCCCAGGGAGGTGGTGGAGTCACCATCCCTGGAGGGACTCAAGAACCATGTAGATGTGGCACTTCAGGGCATATTTCCTGTTTGTTTTTTCCTGGGTGGGGGTTGATGGTTGAATGTGGTGATCTTAGGGGTCTTTTCCAGCTGTGACATTTCCGTGGTTCTTGTTTGTTCCTGATTTCAAAAGCATCCAGTGGTGAGAGAGACTCCCTTTCCTAGGCAGATCAGTACAGCTTGTCTGGGTGCAGACAACAAGGCACATATCATTGGTTTGCTCTTAGAAAAGCCCTGGAAACTTTGCCAGTTAAAACTGGGATCAGAGGCTGTGCCTTGAGGAATTGCTTGCCAGGCTTTGCTCTGGATTTGACCACGTTGTCTTGCAAATCAGAAGTTCTGACTTCAGCCCTTCTCTTGTCTACTAGGGAAAAGGTGTCACCCTGAAAGCACTGACTGAAGACTATGCTGCTGAACTTAATACATTAAAATCTGAGAACCAGCAATTGAGGAAGGATCTTGCAGAGGCCAGAGCAAAAGTGGAGCTTGCTCAGCAGGTCTGCCAGGATGAGGGCACTGCTCAGCAGCTGCAGGACAAGGAGCCTGAAGCCAGGGACGTGCAGTACAGGTGAGTGTTGCATGACCCCGAGGTTACTGCTTCCTGACAATGAAGGAGAACAGAAAGTTGGGGGGTTTGAGGGTTTTTAATGACCTGCTTTATGTAGAGTGTCTCTCTGAAGCACATCGTGCGTGTGGGAGAACACAAAGGGCTGGTTTGGAAACTGCCTTGATGCTTTAAGTAGAGCAGTAGCTTTTAATCCTGGCTGAGGGTTGGGCCTGCACAAGAGAAGGCTCTGGGGAGGCCTCATAGCAGCCTTCCCATGTCTGCAAGCTGCTGCAGAAAAGCTGGGTACGAGCTTTGGACAAGGGCTTGAAGTGAGAGGACAAGGGGGAATGGATGAGAACTGGGAGAGGGGCGATTGAGGAGAGACATGAGGAGGAAGTTGTGGAGAGTGAGGGTGGTGAGAGCCTGGCCCAGGTTGCCCAGGAAAGCTGTGGCTGCCCCATCCCTGGCAGTGTTGAAGGGCAGGTTAGATGGGGCTTGGAGCAACCTGGGCTGGTGGGAGGTGTCCCTGCCCATGCAGGGGGTTGCATCTAGATGATCTTTAAGGTCCCTTCCAACCCAACCCATTCCATGGTTCTATGGTCTACATTCTGCAAAGCCAGCTGGAGTTTGACTCTCCTTTGCCTTTGCCTTGGATTGGGAAGCAACCTGTGCACTTCTGGAGAAGGACTGAGCTGTGGCCCTGGTGGCTGTGCTCCTTTCCTTGCAGGACTGGGATGTGTACACTGTAGTGCTGGGTATATACAATAGCAGGAGAGTAGATGAGGATTCCTTAGAGACTGGATGTGCTTCTGGAAGTCCTGGGGAAACAAGAGCCAGTTTGGATTTCCAGTGCTATTAGTAACCTGAATGTTAATTATTACCTCTGCACAAGTTTTTGCTGAAGTCCAGCAGTCAGACAGCTGTGTTTAAACCTGCCTTCCAGGGTGACTCGGGAAGCACAGCACAAACATGATGAGCAAACAGAGAGGATACCCCACACAGCTGATGGGACTGTTCTGCACCATCAAGGGGAGCCCCAGAGGTGGGGGGCTGCTGAAACAGGAGCTGTGACCCCTGCGACGGGTGAGCTGCCCACCCAGAGCTGCAGGGAGAACTGCTTGGAGTCATCTGCTTTGGGTGCTGTGCTGGGAGTGGATTCTTTGCTCCATGTGCTGGATGGAAACAAGGATTTTGCAGGGGAATCACCCAAGCAGTCCATCCTGGATGATCAGAGGGCATCTGTGCCTTTGGTAAGCAGCTGTGTTGGTTAGCTGGTTGCTAGTCAAGAGCTAAGGATGTTGCTGGGGTCTCATCTGGGAAAAGGAGCCAGATTTTTGAAGGTGTGGTCTGGCTGCATGGTGTGTCTGATTCTTTTGGCACACATTAAACAGGGAGGAAAAAAACACTGCTGAGTGGTTAATACTTGCAGAGTGGGAGCCCTGTGGTTACTCCTCAGAACTCTCTGGGGAAAGGTTTGGTTTAACTGATGAGCTAATTCCAGAAGCTCATTGTTCTCTCCAGGCTGGTGCTGTACATCAGTGTGTACCACGAGCTGTCACCTCACAGTTCTGCTCCAGCTCTTGCCTTGGGTCTGTAAGAAAGGCTCAGAGTGGATGTGGAGTGCAGAACATTTCAGCATATGGTTCTGGGTGGATCAGAAAGCTGGTGTTGCACATCTTTGTTCAGTCAGGGTGAGTCTGACCCCTGTGAATGGGGTTGCAGTTGTCAGCACACTGAGCTTAAAGCCACTCATGCCAGCTGATAGCTGAAATTGGTGCTTCCCTGCACAAGGGAAGGCTGTTGCTATTTTTCTTACTAGGGAGCAGTGTGGGCACATTCTTGTCCTCTGCTCATAGCTGGGGCCCTTGCCCAAGATACAGGAAATTTGGTGTTAGTCACTTCTTGCCTGTGGTGTTTTATTTCTCCTGGTGCTGAGGGGGGCTGCCTGCTCATGGTCAAGCTCCAGTGTCTTTAAATAAGTTCCTTTAATATTAAATAATTATCATGAGTAGGCAGTAGTGGGGTAGGAGAGATTTGCTTGTTATCTGCAGCCCTTTTTTTTCTTGCTTTCCTTTGTTTCTGGCTGTTGATAAAATACCAGAAACCCACGAGACTCCAGGATTTGGGAATAACCAGTTATGTTCTCTTGCCAAGACACTGAGGCAAATTTTCTGTAATGGAAAGCACTCCAATTCCTACTTATACCTCTGGGGTCAGGTTCCACCTGTGAAGCACAACAGGTACAGGGGCACATGGAGGGCTTGTTTCTGTTCAGCTCTCATTCCTCAGTGCCTTAGAGAGAGGAAATACTGGAATGGAAAAGTTGTGTGTGCTGAGGTAGTGATTTTACTGCCTGCACCTTTGGCAAAAGGCTTGGGAAGCTCTCACTGTTGGTTGGAGATTATTGGGAGAGACATTTACCTATGATAGAAGCATGAGGGCTCAGTCTGTCCAATAAGTGACACAAGAGCCTTTCAGAAGCATATTTATGGTGTGGTTTGTGGATCAGAAGTGTTTCTGGCTGAAATCTGGACTTGAAGAATACCTGTTGTCCCTGTGTTTCCCTTCAGTGCCTGCTGCCTACAGCTTCAGTTGGATCAATAGCTGCCAGATACCTGAAAGAGGAAGAACTGAGATCCCAGCACATCCTAGAGTGCCTGAATGCTCACATTGAGGAACTGAAGAAAGAGAGTGAAAAGATAGTGAGAGAATTTGGACACCAGGAGTAAGGTTTCTAATTGAATTGGAATGCTGGTTTAGTGACATGGCTCCAAACTGCCCATGGGGAGGTGCCTAGAAACCTGTTGCCATCGGAGCTTGGGTGAGAGGCTGTTCCTCCTCCTTGGAGCTGAGTCAGCAGGGTGGATCCTGAGGGAAGGAAACTCCTCTCTGACATGGCTGAGCTGATGGAAGGTGCTACACCACAAACACTTCAGCTTGCTGCAGGTCAAGAAGCTGCAGCAGAGGTGTGTGCTTGGACACTCACTCACAAAGAGTTTATGGTGATTTTTAGAAACAAACTATTTGCTAATTTTAATGCATTTTAAGTATATTTTATGCGTATAAAAACATTTAAATAAAATTAAATGGAAAAAACAGCTTTTTTCTGGTTCATGCAAATAGAGTAAATCTCTTGTGGCTTGCCTTGCCTTCCCATCAGGGACTTTGGTCAGCCCTCTTCAAAGAACAAGGAATGTAATTCTTCCTACCTTTATGCTATCTGTCTTTTTCTCCAGCTGTATTCCTTGGTGGAATTTCTTAATGTGTCCTGGTTATCCCAACTTCTGCCCTTTCCTGTTCGGGTAGTATCCAGCATCTTTATCTTGCCTTGCACATTGCTCCTGCAAAATAGCTGAGGGGTGAACTGGTGAGTTGTGATGGTCACAGCTCTTGCAAAAGAAGGGAGAGTGGTTGGAACTGGAAATTAAGTTGTGTGGGAGGAGAAGCCTAAAAGAAGTGAGATTCATCTGTACAGCACATGTCATTGCAGCTGCTGTAGGGGGTTGGTGTCAGCCTCTTGTGGATCTAAGCAGTCTTGGACACTGCCCAGTCAAATTGAACTGCTGCATTAATTCATTCATCTGAGACCTGTTGTGGAAGGGCTGAAGACTTTCCTCACAGAGGAAGTGAGTTGTTAATGGTCCTACACACCTGCCTTTCTTCCAGGGACACTGCACTTCTGCTGTGGCTGAGCCTTTACAGCCTCTGTACAGGGAAACCCAAGGGCAGAGACATCCCCCAGCAACCTGTGCATGCAAAAACCAACCATGGGATGAGGCAGGTGAGCAGCCTGGTCTGGTGGGAGGTGTCCCTGCCCATGCAGGGGGTTGGAACTGGATGATCTTTCAGGTCCCTTCCAACCCAAACCAGTCTGTGCTGGTGATGGTGTTGGTGACGCCAACAGCCTCTCTGTGATGCTGTAAAATGGGACTGCACTTGGGCAAGCAACTCAGCCTTCCAGAGTTAAAAACAAGTTGTTTTCTTTTGCCTTTCTTCTGGAGCTCTTGGAGCAAGGATAAAACTTTCAGATCCATGCTGGATTCTCACTGTGGTGAGGTGTTGAGCTGGGGATAAATGCTGCTCATGCATTTTGCCCCCATCAGCCTGGGTGCCTGCTTAGAGCATTCCACACTAAGGGTTTTTAAAAGACCTGCCTTAATATCCAGATCTCAAGTAAGGACTTGTTGATCATGAGGCATTTTGACAAGAGCTGAATGGAGCAAACCTCTGTTTCCCCTTCCTGAGTGAACCTGTAGGTCCAGTGAGTCCATGGTGTGCTGGAACTCTTGGGGTTCCTCATGTCCTTTGGTGGTGACAGCAATGCCATCTTTTATATGCTATCTTACAAACTCTTGTGTATTTCCTGCAGATTTGTTAAGGAAGCTTCCTCATGCCCTGAGTGTTTTCAGGAGTTTAGAAGACATTATGGCTCATTAGTGATGTTTGCTTCCATATCCCTTTCCTTTTGGATATCCTTTGGGATATTTGGCAGCTCATGTTGGCAGAAGTGAAGAGTGGAACTGAAGATGATCCGTTTGATAAGCAGCCATAATCCTACAGTATTGATCAATTTCTATGTAATAAGCAGCTTCTTTCAGGGCTGTAAAAATTTGATCTAAAGAATAACATTTATGACAGGGACCCTGTAGGGATCCTACAGGAAAGCTGGGGAGGGACTTGGGACAAGGGCAGGGAGGGAGAGGACAAGGGGGAAGGGATGAAAACTGGCAGAGGGGAGATTGAGGTGAGACATGAGGAGGGAATTGTGGAGTGTGAGGGTGGTGAGAGCCTGGCCCAGGTTGCCCAGGGAAGCTGTGGCTGCCCCATCCCTGGCAGTGTTGAAGGGCAGGTTGGATGGGGTTTCCCCTTCCTGAGTGAACCTGTAGGTCCAGTGAGTCCATGGTGTGCTGGAACTCTTGGGGTTCCTCATGTCCTTTGGTGGTGACAGCAATGCCATCTTTTATATGCTATCTTACAAACTCTTGTGTATTTCCTGCAGATTTGTTAAGGAAGCTTCCTCATGCCCTGAGTGTTTTCAGGAGTTTAGAAGACATTATGGCTCATTAGTGATGTTTGCTTCCATATCCCTTTCCTTTTGGATATCCTTTGGGATATTTGGCAGCTCATGTTGGCAGAAGTGAAGAGTGGAACTGAAGATGATCCGTTTGATAAGCAGCCATAATCCTACAGTATTGATCAATTTCTATGTAATAAGCAGCTTCTTTCAGGGCTGTAAAAATTTGATCTAAAGAATAACATTTATGACAGGGACCCTGTAGGGATCCTACAGGAAAGCTGGGGAGGGACTTGGGACAAGGGCAGGGAGGGAGAGGACAAGGGGGGATGGATGAAAACTGGCAGAGGGGAGATTGAGGTGAGATATGAGGAAGAAATTGTGGAGTGTGAGGGTGGTGAGAGCCTGGCCCAGGTTGCCCAGGGAAGCTGTGGCTGCCCCATCCCTGGCAGTGTTGAAGGGCAGGTTGGATGGGGCTTGGAGCACCCTGGGCTGGTGGGAGGTGTCCCTGCCCATGCAGGGGGTTGGATCTGGATGGTCTTTAAGGTCCCTTCCAAGGTCCCTTCTATGATCTTTTTTGGAGGCACGTGGTTCTGGGGCCTCTGGTATGGCTGCTGTTTCTGGAGCTGCTGTGCATGGGCAGCAGGAGAGGAGGACAGAGCTTGAGTTGAACAGTTTCCTACTCTCCCTGAATTGCTCTTTTTAAAACACCTGCCTTTCTTGTGGCCAGCATGGAAACAGCAAAGCATTTGATGGTAAATCAACCCTTCCATGGGGAGGAAGGCAGCGTGAGGAGATGGAAGTGCAGAGATGCTCTTACCAAAGACACAGTGTTTTACTTTCACTGAGAAACAAGACACTTGCAAAACAGAGTGATCTGAACTCACAGTGCTGAGCCCTTTTACCTCTTGGTGGTGCATGGATTCCAAGGACTGTTCAGTCCTAGGGGCTGCCACAGGTGAACTGGAGCTGAAATGGGAGAGCTGGTAGTCCTGAAGTAAGAGAGCAACATGTTCCAGAGGTGTTCTCCTGGTGCTGGAGTCTTGGCTGCACTGTGCATAGTGCATTTTTTAATGAGGAGAAAAAGGCTTGTTTATCCTGGAGGGAGGTGTCACAGCAAGCACAGACTTCTGAGGTGCTTTTATCTGGGGCTACAGGGTTTCTCAGGCATTTGTCCCTGCCTTTGCATTGTCAAACACCCCTTGGAATAATCACCTGGCCCTGGAAGCTTCATAATTTATGAAGCTGGAGAGGGGTTTTTTTATGTCTTTGAACTCATGCCTTTGGCAGCACTGAGGAATTTCTTCTACATTTGTAGGGCTGAGGCAGATGTTTGTTTTCTATTAGAAACCAACATCTGGAGATGCATTTGCAATACTTCTGTTTGTACCAGCCTCACATCTTGGAAGTGGGAAGCTTTTGAAGGCTCTGTCTGTCTTTGGTGAGCTCCAGACGTTCTTCCTTGGGTGTGATGCTGCTTTGAGGGGTTAAATGAGTCTCTGACGTGTGTAACTGCAGGTGCTGGGCTTCTGCAGTGGTGTGTATGGGGAGGAGGGAGCTCTGAGATCTTGCTAGGTAGGATAAATAGTCCTCCCTACTCCCTTGGGAGGCTTTTTTCTCCATCTGCCATCTTGAGGCAGATGTGGGGTTAGAGAGCTCTTGTGCAAGGGAGTGTTGGGGAGGAGGAGCAGGGGCTGGGGTCACCTTGCTGGGCTGCCCCTCACTTGTGCCTGTGTGTGTACATGGAAGTGGCTGCAGGGAGGGTGTGTGGCACTTGGGATCCTTGGCTCTGTTAGGTGGAAGAAGTTCTCTTTAGTTCCTGACCTCTCTGGGATGGCTCCTTATCCTCCCATTTCAAGGCTGCCCGTGCTGTCCTGGGATGTGCTAACAGGAGTGTGTCCAGCAGGTCCAGGGAGGTTCTCCTCCCCTTCTACTCTGCCCTGGTGAGACCACATCAGGAGCTCTGTGGCAGTTCTGGGCTCCACCAGAGGGACAGGAGTTTACTAGAGAGTCCAACGGAGGCTACAAGGATGATGAAGGGACTGGAACATCTGTCTGATGAGGAAAGGCTGAGAGACCCGTGGCTGTTCAGTCTGGAGAAGAGAAGACTCAGGGGGGGATCTAATTCATGTTTGCAAATATTTGAAGGGATCAATCTCTGTTCAGTGGTTCCTGTGACAGGACAAGGGGCAACGGACACAAACGGAATGCAGGAAGCTCCACCTCAACGTGAGGAAAAACAGCTTTGCTAGAAGGGTATTGGAGCCCTGGGACAAGCTTCCCAGAAGGTCTTCTCTGGAGACTTTCAAGGCCTGCCTGGACACATGCCTGTGTGACCTGCCCCAGGTGATCCTGCTCTGGCAGGGGGGTTGGACTCTGATCTCCAGAGGGTCCCCTCCAACCCTGACCCTTCTACAATTTGACTGTATCAGCCTGACATGTAAAATGCAAGCTGTGAAAATGTGCCCTCCTTGATCTGAAAAGTGGGATCCATGGAAAAAATAACTCTCTTGCCAAGCACCAAAGAACCCCAGGCTATCTGTGCCTACAGACAAGGTTTGCTTTAGCCTTCAAGGTCCTCGGCAATCAAAAAATCCCCGCGCCTGTGCCGTTCAGTGTGTGTTGCTGTCCTGGGAGCAGGTCCCTGCTGGGCTGCAAGGCTTGGTAGTGCTCCTGCAGGGAGGAGCTGCTGCCAGTTTTTGAGGGCAAGTACACTTAGCTGTTTGGGGGAGGACTGAAAAATCTACTTTTATGTCACATATGGAGCTTCCTTGTCTCCAAGTACAAAAAAAAAAAGACGCCAGAGCGTTGCTGTGCTCCGGGCATCCTGGAATGAGCTGTGTTAGCTTCCAGGTGGTGTTGATACCTGCAACTGGTGTCCGCAGTGGCCTGCATCCTCCCCGAGGGTTCTGCTGCTTGGGCACAGCTCAGGAACCTCAGCTTGCTGGAAATGGGGGCTCAGACTGGTCAGTGTGGGAGAGGGATCACATAAGAAGGGTGGGAGGCAGCAAGGCTGCTGCAGATGGGCAGCTCTGCTGTTGTGTAGAACTTCTGCCACCCAGTTGCTGAGGAGGAGTAGAGAGCAGGAATAACCCACGTGCTTTGTGTGGAAAGCCCAGCAGCTTGCTGAGCAGGAACTCATATGGCTTGGTCAATGAAACAGAATGCAAAACCAGACAGATTTATTTTCAATTCAAGCTCAAACATAATATCTCTAAGGTCACGCTAACACTTCTGGACATCCAAATGGTTTATGGAAAAGTTGTTTGACCCGATGATGTGTATTTGTGGTGAGTTTCAGCAGAAGACCACCCCTGCCTCGAGCCGTGTTGGGGTTTTCCAAGAGTACAGCACCAAATAGTTTTTTACATGATCACAACATCACACGTCCTGCTATTCCACGTAACCCCTGCAGCTCTTCAGCTGCAGTTTTGCGTAGACAAGTCGGAGTAGGGAGTGATTTTTGAGAATGTTGTTCTCCACTTTCCTGTAGCTTTTGTGGTGGGATCACCTCTATGCTTGAGATGTGATTGCAGCAGAAAAAAAAAAAAAGTGTTTACAATTCAAATACTCTAATATAAAAAAGGTAAAAATGGCTTTGTTTATTGGTTTTAAGAGTCAGTGTAAAAAGTCATTTCGCGGTATCGCTGAAGTCTGTAAGACAATGAAAAGCACAAGAAAACTTCATGTGGCTTCTTCTCCCTGTCCCTCCTCTCCTAGGATGTATTTTTCAACTTGACTAAAGATACACAGAAGCTTGGTTTAAATATCCTGAAGTTCCTTGTGTCCAATATTGCTGCTCAAAACCAGGGTGTACTTTCTGCATCCTGCCCCACAGCTAGATGGGTTCTTCTCAGAGTAGCTATTGTAAGACTTGTCCTATGGTCCATAACTTGGGAACCAGCAATTGCTGCTGATTCTGACTGACCTGTGACCAGACAGTCAGTTGTTTTCTTCAGGATGATTGTCTAGACAGTATTACTGGAAGAGAGAGGTGAGGATTGTATTTAATTCCTTCCACTGCTGGTCCCTTTCTGCTTCTTGGGACTTCTTTGAGAAGTTCCAACGCCTGCAAGTGTTGTCCTGCATTTGCTGGAAGAGCAGATCTGATGGAGAGAGCGAACCATCTGCTAAAGCTGTGTCGGCTTGGGGCACGTTGGAGATGTTGGGTTGTGTAGGAGAGTGGCAGAAGGAGAAGGGGGGTGTTACTGGGTTTCCACTTCGTATTTCAGGACGTGTGAGTAAAAGCTGTGGTTGGCGTTCTCGTGCACCATCACAAACACCTCCCTGCACCCCGATGTGTTGCAGGTTCCCTCCCAGTACCCTCTGCTCTGGGTGAGAGGGTAAGTGTTCTCAGCCTGAACTAGCACCTTGGCCACCCCCTGCATTCTGAGTTTGAAGTGCACGTTGCGGTTGGCCGGCAGCAAGCCCGAGAGCGGCTCCAGGACCTCGTACTCCCCCAGCCACTTGCTGTAACTCTGAGGGAAAGGAGGCCACTTCACTTCAGTGTTCAGGCAAGTGAGGAGGTAGTTGAAGATGTAGTCGTAGTTGCCCGGATCCGACTTCTTCCTGGCGTAGATTTTGAGCACAAAGTTCCCCGCGTGGGGGAGATGGATCTTCAGCTCGATCTGGTTGCCACGATGGGTCTGCACGATGTGCCTCCTGCCCAGCTCCTCGCTCAGGCGGCTGTCGTCGCCGTGCAGGGAGGCCAGGACACTGATGTCCTTGCCCAGGGTGAAGGAGACAGAGCACCTGCCGTCGTTGGTGTGGATGATGGGCTCGGGGTGGGAGGGCCTCAGGAACCCGTGGCGCTCGCTGAACCAGCTGGGTCCGACCGGCTGGTGCAGCTCCCTGGGGAAGCGCGCGGCCGTGTCCACGGACCCGCACTCCACCGCGTATTCCAGCACGCACTGGTAAACGTCATCCGAGCCTTTGGAGGGCTTGGCAAAGATCTGCAGCTTGTTGCTCCCCGTCTTCTGGGGGTAGATGTCCAGTTTCATCCCGCGCTTTTTCAAAGTCATCAAGCCTTGCCCATCTGCTCCCTTCAGCTTGAACTTGAAGAGGGTGGCGGAGCGGCAGTCCAGGGACACCGAGGCCTTGCCATTGACTGGGGGATGCAGGAGAAAAGAGACCACACAGCAGCTTCAGTACATGTTTTTTGGCCTTTACACCCTGTTCTGGGCAAACTAACCCGTCCCAAGAAACTGCTGCTTCTCTAATACAAGGGCTTGTAGTGAGAGTTGGGGTGTTCAGCCCAACTGAAGAGAAGGCTCCAGGGAGACCTTAGAGCACCTTCCAGTGCCTGAAGTAGCTCCAGGAAAGCTGGGGAGGGACTTGGGACAAGGGCAGGGAGGGAGAGGACAAGGGGGAAGGGATGAAAACTGGCAGAGGGGAGATTGAGGTGAGACATGAGGAGGGAATTGTGGAGTGTGAGGGTGGTGAGAGCCTGGCCCAGGTTGCCCAGGGAAGCTGTGGCTGCCCCATCCCTGGCAGTGTTGAAGGGCAGGTTGGATGGGGCGTGGAGCAGCCTGGGCTGGTGGGAGGTGTCCCTGCCCATGCAGGGGGTTGGAGCTGGATGCTCTTTGAGGTCCCTCCCAACCCAAACCATTCATCAGCTGCTGACCGAGCCTTTCTTTTAGACCCTAGGGGCTGCTACAATTTTTTCACAGCTTGAACAAATCAAAGAAAAGAAGGAATAAGAGGAAAGAAAACCCAAACAGCCCTGCCCCAGGAGCTCTGAGTGGAGGGGCTGGTACCTGTGTGGATGGTGGATGTCTCTGGTTGGGCAGTGAGAAGACCCAAGAGGTAAAAGTTGCTGCTGTGCAGCATGTTGTTCTCAAACTCCTTCAGTGTCAGTGTGGGTTTCAGGAGCTGCCAGTTGCTGTTATCTGGGAAGTGATTGTTAATGAACAGAGCCGGGTGAGTCAGAAAGTAAAACTCGTTGTACCTGGAAGAAGGAGAGATGAAAGGGCAATGAGTAATTACAAGTGGTTAATTCTTCCCCCGCTCAGAGGTGCTGGTTTCAGTCTGAGCATTTGGGGCTGCTGAGAAACTGAGGTTGGTGGGTTTCAGTTTCTCCAGGCAGAGGTGAAACCTGACCTTGGGTCTTCTGTTTCCAGAGGACGTGCTGAGCTTTTGAGTAAAAGTGGAGCTTTTTTGGGTAGTGTCTGCACTGCCCCCTGCAACCGTGGGCTCCTGAAGGAGGAGGGAGGCCCTGCCTGGTGTTTGGCCCTTTGGAGACACCCCCTCCTGGGGGAGTGAAAGGTATGGATCAAATGCCACATAGTTCTGCAAAGATTGGAGGTGTGATTAGCAAAACAAGTTCACTTTAAACAGTTATGGGGCTTGAAGCTCAGGGCCACTGCCTTTCTGCAGCTGTGTGCTCCAGCCCTTGTGTGGGCAGCCCAGAGACCTTGCCCAGGGGCTTTGGGTCTTGCTGAGGGACCCACCATTTGTCAGTGTCTGGTGTTTCTTACCACACCCATCAGCTTCCTTCTGCTTTGGGGCAGGTTTCTGTATCAACACACAGAGGATGGTTCTTTACCTGAAGGTGAACTTGGTGAAATCATCATCAACAGCACCACTTCCCCAGGTGCTGTCGAGCAAATGCCACCTTCCATCGAGGTAGACGGCGTTCCAGGCATGGTCAGAGTCCCCTGTGAAGGTTTGTCCCATCTTGTACCCATAGCCCTTGGAGTATCCTGATATCTTCATGCACTGGATCCCTGCAATGCTGAAAGGAGACAGTGAGATGCAGCAGGAGACTCCTGCCTTAAGCCTGTCAGTGCACTTTTGTGGAAGGACGTGAGGAACAAATCCCAGCAGGTCCAGTGGACCAGCTCCATCAGCTCCTCAGGAGCCTCCTTGCAGCTGAGTCCCAGGGGAGTCAGGGGATTTAAACGCCTAAATGTGCAAATCTGCCTCTCTTTGAAAACTCCAACTGGTGACCCCAGTGTCAGAACGTGGTGAATGTCAAGGTTAGTGCAGCTGGAGACTGGGTGAGTTCTCCCCATGGGGTTGGGTTGTGGCTGGTTTCTCTCCTAGTCTTTGCACAGGCACATGAGGAGAGGGTCCCACCTCAGGAGGATCCTTCGTTCTTCCCGCTTCTGCATCTTCCCTCCCTTTGTGTCTGAGGCACCATCAACCCCACCTTGTTACAGGAGGATGAGAAAGATGAAGTGTGCTTAATTGCTCTCTGTCTTGTTACTCAGTGGAATCCCTTTGATGCTTTCCACAATTAGCCCATGTAATGATAAATTAACAGCGAGTCTGTTCACGCTTGTGTTCCCTCTGTAGCAGCAGACCCAGCATTTGACACCAACTAAGATATCTTAGACCTCACGGGATTGAGGATGCTGATTTAATTTCCTTAAGCTCGTGCTTGCCCAGGGTACAAATGATTAAATAGTTTCCTCTTAAAAAAAAAGAATGAGAACCTGCATTGATGCATAAATCAGGTTTAAATCAGCAGCGTGTTCATGAGCAATGGGTTCTAACATTGGCATCTTCTTGCAGCTAAAATTGCTTCACTTGGAGGATTGTCTTTTGTGTGGGCTGGCACTGACATTCCTCTTCTTCATTGAGAAGTGTGTGAAGTGGAACAGCCACCTCAAGTGAGAAACTGTGCATGCTCTGAGAGCAGGATTGGCTGCATGGTGTGGGCAGAACTCCGAGGGAAAGGGATGGTTTCTGGGGCTGATAATTCGTGTGGCTGTTCACAAGTGGAGCTCTGGGGAGAGATGCTGCTGACTGGCAGGACTGCTTGTTTCCCAGGGGTGATGCTGGGCTGAAGGGAAGGTGGGCACTTCAGCTTTCAGACAGGCTCCCTGAACCCAAGCCTCCCTGGAGCACTTTGGTGTCTGATTTTCTTTAAGAGCCCGAAATGAAATTCTTACATTCTTTCTTCCAAAAAAAAACAACCCACCTGCATGATGACTGCACAGGGCTGCTGGGGAGCCAGCTGGGAACTCCCCCTGGGGAGCCTGCAGGGAGAAGACTGAGGTGCAGGAAGGGGACAAGGTGGCAGTTCCCTGTCCCTGCTAAAGGTGACCAGTGAGGAAGAGGAGGGAGCAGCAGGTGGCCCTGGCCCAGCAGGGGCTGTTGGGCAGTGATGGATAGTGAGGGGCTGCCTGTCACACCAGGGATTCAAAGCCACCCTGGCAGCCTGGAAGGAATGTCATTACGAAACCTGGTGTGCAGGGGGGTCTGTAAAGGCTTTGCCAGCCTGCCCTGGTCTGTGAGCCAAATCCTAGTGTGGAGCTGGGCAGCAAATCCGGAGCAACTCCCCTGACAAGGCTGGTGAGAGCTTGGATTGACATGGTGTAACTGAGACTGGGAGCTGGCCCGGGAGCTTGAGGGAAGATTTGACCCTGGGAGTGTCAAACTAAGCACCAAACTCCCACTGATTTCATGGGGATTGGTGTCTAATCCTTCTAGGCTTCTCTAGACATTCTTGTTAGCTGGGATATTCAGAGAGAACATTAAGGGACAAGTTCTGCCCTCCTCTGTGCTCCCACAGTGGGCATCAACAAAGCAGCAAGAAGAGTTTGTGCTTGGATGTGTTCAAAGTTCCCAAGAGAAAGGCCAGAGCATTTCAACAGTGGTCTCTGCTAATGGGCAGCCAAAAAAACCTGGCTAAATCATCCTGTACAAAGAGTAATCCTGTAGTGGTGAAAAGAGTGACTATGTCTTGGCTTTTGTGTAAATGCCTTGATACAGATGAATGAACCAGGCAGAGAGAGGGCTGAGAAACAGAGAATCACAGAATATCAAGGGTTGGAAGGGACCTCTGAAGATCACCCAGTCCAACCCTCCTGCCAGAGCAGGACCCAAACCAGGGCAGGTCACTCAGAAAGGCATCCAGACAGGGCTGGAAAGGCTCCAGAGAAGGAGACTCCACAGCCTCTCTGGGCAGCCTGTCCCAGGGCTCTGTCACCCTCACAGCAAAGAAGTTCTTCCTCATGTTGAGGTGGAACTTCCTGGGCTCCAGTTTGAACCCATTGCCCCTTGTCCTGTCCCAGGGCACAAGTGACAAGAGCTTGTCCTGCCTTCTTGATGCCCTCATGTATTGATAGACATTAACAAGATCCCCCTCAGGCTTCTCCTCTCCAGACTGAACAGCCCCAGGTCTCTCAGCCTTTCCTCATAAAGCTGGTTTGGGTTGGAAAGGACCTTAAAGACCATCCAGCTCCAACCCCCTGCATGGGCAGGGACACCTCCCACCAGCCCAGGTTGCTCCAAGCCCCATCCAACCTGCCCTTCAACACTGCCAGGGATGGGGCAGCCACAGCTTCCCTGGGCAACCTGGGCCAGGCTCTCACCACCCTCACACTCCACAATTCCCTCCTCATGTCTCACCTCAATCTCCCCTCCTCCAGTTTTAATCCATTTACCTCCTGCCTTTATGCTGAGCCTCAGCATAAGTCTGGGACAAAGCACAAGAAGAAGGGATGAGGATTCCCCCTTGCAAGAAAAGGCCTTTGGTGATAGTTTTCCAGGAAAGGAGCTAACATTTAGCTAATAAATGCCAAAAGTGATAGGTTGGATGACTAGGAGGTTCCCTGCATCCCAAAATGAATAATCAACCTGGAACTGAGGAATTAAATCAACAGCAACTTGAAATAGCACAAGAGATCCTTGGCAATAGGGATGGTTTTAATGAACCAAACATATGCTTTTTAATGAACCAATGCAAATTTCCACTACTTCTAACTGCTAATGCAGTTACAAATTAATGCTTCATCATCTGATTTCTTTCTTTTACTCTTCAAAAGGCAAGACATGATATGGTGGGTTGTGTTTTTTGTTGGGAGGATTCATCACTTCAGCATCTGGCACAGTATTTTATTGTATTTTTTTAATAATCCGTCCTTTTCCCCTCTAGGTTTTCTTTGTTTCACAGTGAAAACCTTCCCAAATCTTTTGCGCTGGTGTGGAAAGCCAATTATTACTTAGAGATGCCAATTAAGAACTGGTCTTTGATGGTTTTTTGCAAAGCTGTCTTGTAAATGGAAGCTGCTCTGCTGGGGAGGTGCTCCCTGGGAGGGCCACCGTGCAAGCCCCCAGCTCAGGTCCCAAACTTGCCAGGCATCTTCCTTGCCTTCACTCCTCCCCTCCAGCCAAACTCCTGCACCCAGAGAGGTTGAGATGTTGCTCTTTGCTGTGAGGGTTGCCTGGCACTAAGGCAGGAATGGGGAAATGGGAAGGAGAAGGCATCTGGGCTGTGTCCAGGTGCCTGTGCTCCCTGCCAAGGATTCCTGACTGTCAAGTCCAGCTTCTGCTTCTTGGTGGGGGGAAAATCCCACTTGTTGGTGCCACTGATCCCCAGCGAAGCCCACAGGGGTTTCTAGGCAGGAGAAGGGGAGGTTTAGTAACTAAATGCTGATGTAGCTCTATAGAAGATGGGAATTCCAGTATTGGCCTCACCCAGGATGCCCCTTGAGGTTGAGTGAAGGACACAGGAGCAGTTAAGTAGGGGGGCAATGTCCTTGTGGTGCTTCTGGAGCGGAGGGGGCATCTCTGGAAGGTTTTGGGAGAGCTCCTGCTGGGGCTGGGCTGCCCCCTGGCATGGGAGCACGTTGAAGACAACCCTCCCTGCTGAAGTCTTGCCATGTTTTTAACCTTCAGCTACTTGAAGGGAAAACCTGGCAGCTTCTAACTGCATTAGCTGGTGTTTTTCATCTGCCATTATGTTAATGCGATGCGAAGCTCAGCAGATGGCACCAGGTAAATTATGCTGGAGGAGGAAGCAAGATTGACCTTCCTAGGACTTGATGTTTTTCCACACCATGGTTTGAAAGCTAAAGTTCCTTGTCCTGCTTAAAGTCACATCAGTCAAGGAAAAGGCAGGCAGAAGAGGCACAGAGATGAACTGGAATGTTAACTCTCATGGAATCACAGCCTGGCAGGGGTTGGGAGGGACCTCTGAAGATCACCCAGTCCAACCCCCCTGCCAGAGCAGGACCCAAACCAGGGCAGGTCACTCAGAAAGGCATCCAGACAGGGCTGGAAAGGCTCCAGAGAAGGAGACTCCACAGCCTCTCTGGGCAGCCTGTCCCAGGGCTCTGTCACCCTCACAGCAAAGAAGTTCTTCCTCATGTTGAGGTGGAACTTCCTGGGCTCCAGTTTGAATCCATTGCCCCTCGTCCTGTCCCAGGGCACAAGTGACAAGAGCTTGTCCCTGCCTTCTTGATGCCCTCATGTATTGATAGACATTAATTAGATCCCCCCTCAGTCTTCTCCTCTCCAGACTGAACAGCCCCAGGTCTCTCAGCCTTTCCCCATCAGGTGTTCCAGTCCCTTCATCATCCTTGTAGCCTCCCTTGGACTCTCAAGTCCCTCCTGAACTGGGGAGCCCAGAACTGGACACAACACTCCAAGTGAGGTCTCACCAGG